CAGTTGTTGGTTGCTTATTCTTCATTCTTCGTCTTCGTGTTAATGTCGCAGTCTCATTATCCGAAAGATAGCTCAAATGGACGTTAAAAGCCATGTTTTAGTAATTTAATCATTATAGATATTTATGAGCCATCGGACGGTCTGCATAAAGGAAAACTGTATAATAAACACATTTGTCATGCGGGAATTGGACCGTACATTCCAGAAAGCTTGGAGACGAAGCAATGTTACAGAATATACCCACCTGCGGCACTGCATGTCCGTATAAAAACAAATGAAAACAGTTGTGTGTAGAGTGCAGTAGCATGTAAATTAATAGGATGTAGTAATGCTGGTAGTGAAACATGATATTATGTAACAACTCATAACAAGCTTACAATTAGTATACACACTTTCTTGTTAGTCGTGTTTCTTACAAAACGCCTGCAGTCGAATGCATGTAACAGTTGTGTGCACTGACAGTTATCTGGGAAAGGGTCTTTTTATAGAACTGTCTTCCATATTTAATGTGTAACACTTTAAAGAATGTTGTTCATGTTGGAATTGAGAACTGATTAAATAAGGTAAATGCGTACTACCATTCAGTTTGTAATATTTTATACTCTCGTACCTTGTTTATAATTAACGTACGAGTTCTGTAAATCTGTCTCAGTATATATCACAGTTTCTGTCTGTCGTTGTTGTAACTGTTAATATGCATATTTAAGTTTGTGATCTGCCTCCTCGTGAGGCAGGTCGGCAGATCTGGAATAGCTCGATCTATCGGATCTAGCAGAATACAAGGCGCCTTCCCGTTCCACCCCGAACGCGAAAGAAAACTCATACTTCGGAACATTCTGATTATTTAAGAACAAAGAAAACTTTCAATTGACATTGGGTTTGTTCCAAAACAAAGGAAGTACTCCATAAGATGTGCAGTCATTTCTGAACTGTTGTTTGGCGAGCAGAAGTCCATTGGTTCGCGGAGCGAGAGATCATCATCGACCTTAATAGGACAGACGAGTTTCTCCGTGATATAAATCCACTAACCGTACAATATTTGGTAGATGTTACTTCTCTGATGAAAGTCGTACTTTAACGCGCGTCCTAGCTGACTGGTCTTAGTTCAACAGACAATGACACTTTGCTCTTGAATGCAACGGGTACCAGAATAGGTTTTGCACGGAATAAAGGTATTTGGAACATGCTATTTAGAATCACCTCTAGAGCATAAGTTTTACCTATGCATCTCCAGCACATCTCAGTGAATAATTGTATGAAACTAGAGATCTTAGGCTGATTTAAGGTTTCATCGTAGCATCTGAATGGAGGAGGTCAGAAACACCTCACTTACGACAGTCGTGTTCTCCGATGTTAGAACTGAAAAAGGGGCAGAGATGCATTCCGTTATCGATTGAAATCCAGGTCAAAGTAAAGTTCTTTTCAGTGTCTGTTAGCAAATGCATGGATTGTATCGTTATCAGGTTTATCAGTAACAACACCCTAGGCCTACCACATGGCCTTCGACGTTAAATAAACCTAGCAGTATTATACATCGTCGTAAAATATCCGAATAACCAGAATTATTTTGAGATTGCTTAAAGTAGGCACCGTTACCTTATACTTGGTTATATTAATAACAATCGTGACGTGCTAATGGATTCTGATACATTGCTCTACTTCGCTGTGATGTTACGAGACGCTTAGCCGAAACGTAATTATGCTATTCGAGTAGAAGGTAAAATGCAAAGTAGTGAATGCTCCTTTAGCACGTTCGTCTGCTAAACCAAGCAATGTAATTACCAAATTGACCCTTATGCATCTCACGAGCGTCTCGTCACGAATGATGGGCCATACCGTCGTGACGTCACTTTTACTCAATCGTACGCGCCACCGAACTTTTCTGCCGAGTGGTTGGTACTCCTGCTTCGTATTCGGGATTTCCCGCGGACCGTCTGTCGGGACCGACGCTGTAAGTTCGGGATTTCCCGCGGACCGTCTGTCGAGACCGACGCTGTTTAGTTGCTGTTCTCAGCTCCTCCAGGCAAACGCCGTGATAGCATATTAAATTAGGTCACGGCCAATTCTTTAGACGTCAAGCCTCCTGCTGTGTTGTGAGGTAGTTGGTCAGAAGGAACTGCTGATGTACCGGTTACACGGCAAAACTGCGATGTGTAGTTACTTTCGCTTTGTAGCACGAAACATCGTTAAACACCACTCACTCGAGGGGAAAACCTCGAAAGACGGTTAGCCTGTTAGTTATGGTGAAGTAAGGCAACCGCGAGTAGACAAGGTTTGCAATCTTTTGCTTTATTTCTCTGCTTTTGTAAGCTGTTCTGTCGCTTACGAACTGGGCCGCACAGAAGCTTGAAACTGATGCTGTTTTCAGTTTGTCCAGTCGCCACGCTCTAAGTAATTATATTAGCAGCTCTTGTCTTTATATCCGACAATTTGCTACTCGTAACACCACAAGTTTACATTAGATATATTTAATCGTATTTTATATCATTCACTACATAACATTAAAGGAGTAATATCAGTTTTAGTACACGGTGTTTCAGTTACTGTTTTCATAAATTATAATCAGGTTTCAGCTGGAAGCAACTGAAAGGCGAATACAGATGTTGTTGTTGTTGTCATTTTTGTTGCATTATTATTGTTTATTAATCATAAGAGGGAAATTGTTTTGTCCCTTTTAATAATTTTGGTCACAGTTTTCTTTTATGACAACGTTTTCATAGTTACTGACATTATTAGTATGTCAGTATATTATTCTTGTTAGGTTTCAAACCCTTGACATAATTTGACAGTTACAAAACGTCTATCCATTTTAGGGTTGTGGCCACATGGGTCTTTGTGAAACATCACGGGATGAAGGTCGAAACAGCCAATGGAGAAGCAACTTTGTGTACCTGTACAGAAATATTGTGACAGTCAATTTTTTATTGAAGTTCACGTTAAAGTGTTTTACTTGTGTGTCTAGGTTTGTTTCTCAAGTTGAGTGAAGAACACGTATTGAGGGTTTTTGAGAACAGGGTGCCCAGGAGAATATTTTGGCGCGAGAGGGATGAAGTTACAGGAGGGTAGACAAAATTGTATAGTGAGTGACTATGCAATAAGTACTCTTCGTCATATATTATTAGGATGATAAAATAAAATAAAATACATGGCCTGGGCAAGTAACGCGCACGGGATAGGAATTCAACATTTTTGCTTTGTATTTGGGACGTCTTTGGTTGAAATATCGTCCCGAGGATCTCCGATCGTGTAGTAAATTCCCTTATACTTTACAAGATTCTTATTAATCATAGGTAGACTCTGGTCGTTTCCTCCCATGGCCTGCACAGTCCTCCTGCATTCATGGTCATGTGCCATCAACTCATTCGTCGCCCTCTGACGGTTTCCAGATCACCGAGACGTACGCGTTTCTGCCCCGAGAGGCGGTGACGCGCTTTCTGCTGGGTTGCACCGACTGTCAGCGTCGTCCGAGGTCCCCTTCTCCAATTACAGCTGCCAACGCCCTAAAATCCGCCCCTAGCTCTAGTCTTACACATATCCCTTCAGACCTAGAGCAGCCTCCCCTTACACCCTCCGCAGATTCCGATAACTTTAGCCTGCCATCCCCCATCACTGTGAAATCCTCCCCTAACACAACAAATTCCCGAAGATTGAACAACCACCATCACCATCATCTGAACAACAATCATCATAATAACCACCAACAGAGAGCCACTTCTACGCCTTTAACGCTGAAACCGAGTGCCAACCATCATCGTCTGAACAACAATAATCATATCCATAACAATAACCACCTGAAGAAGCTCGTGGACCCGCCGGACATCGACTTCAGTCTCCCCATCACGACCACGTACCTGAAACACATGCGTAGTCTGGGCTACACCGACGAAGACGCCCTCAAGATCGACGTTGAGGTAAGTCCTACCATCTTTTATTAATATCGTGTTAGCAGTTGCCAGTATAATTCTGTATTGATACTATTTTAAATGTGCATTTCATGTTCGAAATATTTGGTACGCGCGAGATCTTCGTCTTATTGTCTTGGGATTCGCATAAAGGGAAATGATGTCTTGGAATATCTGTGTCAGGAGTTTCAGACCCAGCGGAGGTTTGGACAGGGTTCTCACATAAATCATAACTGGTGTCGGACAGACCGATTCGTTTTATTTTATTTGTGTGAGTTTGAAGGAAATAAATTTCTGTGAGCACAGAAATGGAATGAAAGCACCCTACAGCTTCTCCTATTGCTGGCTGTCTGTGGAAGAAACTCTTTTCTTTGTTCGTAAAGAACTCCTTCGTCCCTTTACGTACACTCTAATTCTCCATTAAATAAACATTTTCACTGCTCTAGAATGCACTCTTACAAGAAATTAACCGTAACTGAAAATAAATCCATACTTCAAAGTATCGTTTGCTCGTACACCCGCAAGTGGCTCTCGATTTTCAGCCACCCCCACACTCGCAAAAGTGTCTGTATTTTCTGCTACTTTCTGAACGCTGTTGTTCTAGATAGACGACCCTAAGAGAATTTTACCCGCATGAGATTGCATGACTCATCACTTGGTTTCAACTAAGCTAACATTTTCAAGTATGTGTTACCCTCGTTAGAAATGCATGGGGAAGGAGCAAACGTTTCTTTAAAAAAAAATTCGAGCTGCTCGAGTCATTTTATGGTAATTTTATACAAGCAGGAAACTGAAATGTGCCACATTGAAAACATCTGAAAGCCGATAGATGCTCAACCGTGGATCCGTAAGCTTAGTAGATTAGTTAGCTGGTTGATTCACTGGTCCATAGGAACGTTTAGTCTTGTGTTAAATGGTTTCCAAATCCCGCGTAAACTGTCGTAGTTTTGATTCAGTTCACACACGTTTTCTTCTGTCATCCGTCACATGTTAAACACGGAACAGTTTGCTAATTAGCTTTGCCCAGAGCTTGAATTCTGTCGACCGGTGGCTGAGGTGTGGTCAGTAGCTTTGCACGTGCGTGCTTACCTTGCCCGCCGATTATGTTAGGCAACACATCGCACACCCGTGTGTGGTGGATAGACTGCAGCCTGCGTCACCGCAATGTTGACAACAAGCTATTTTTACTGCAGTAAGACAGGGACAACGAACGTCACTTCGAGATTGTTTTTCGCTCAGAAAATCACATTACAACGCCTGGGAAGTAAAAGAGATCATTTTAAGTACAGCGATTGTATGAATTTGTCGTTGGTTTTAAAACATTCTTACTCGTTAGAGCATAAATGGCATGAATATACCGATGTTGGTCGTGTGAGTTTTGACGCCATGTGGACTTGTAGGGAGAAATCGTAGTTTCGGAGAGATGTATTTTGCCTCAGTCTTTAGGGATGAATATGACCGTGTTAGCTTCCTAAACGCTGGTGGTCAAAGAATTTCCTATAACGGAAAGCGATATTCAGGACCGCATCCACAAAAGAATTTGCATCATATGGCCTGTTCCGGCCTCAGTTTCACGTCGTCCAAAAGTCTCTTTAGAGGATGTTCACGTTTTCTCTTCCTGAGAATGGTAGTTCACGATTTGTTTCTGGAACTTGTAATCTTTCGGTCGATGTTGAAACCAATTATTTCTATACTCATGGGAGTTCTCTTCCATAGACTTAATCTTGATCTCTTGTTGATTCCTTTGTGATCAAGAACAGTGCGTCCTAGAGTTAAATATAGAAGAGTCCAATCCTCCCTGTTCTCATCGCTAGAAAGCCCATATCGGCTCTGGGCCACACCCAGTCTCCTGTCAGATGGACACCTTTGTTTCGTCTTTGGAGGTACAGCAGCAGCGTGAAGCTGACCACTCAAATCTTCATGTGAGGCGAAATTAAAGAAGACAGAAATCTTCAATCCTACTAATATTTTGTGGTGGAGAACCTGAAATCTCACCAAGTGTCGTAATGTTTTAAAAAAATAATTACTCCTTCTCCGTAGCAGTATTTGCTGTATTTGCCAAAAGTTACAAGAGGGAGGGGGAGACGACGAACGGATCAAGCGAGATCTAGCAAACCGACCTGAGCATTGGGAAGTCGAACTTAACGGATCGATCCTCCGGAGGAAGGAGAGGAAGAGAAGTCGACACAGTGGGTGGGCTGAAGGTGCCTTTGGGGGAGGAGGCTCAAGCAGCCAGAAAGGGTGGAACTGGAAAACAAGACAAGGGTGCAGGATAGGGATGCTGGAAAGTAAGAGAATACCCAAGGGGGGATGAAGAAGTGGAAAGGGGATGATAGTAGCAGGCGACTGACTGACGTGGTTCCCTTTGGGCTGAGTGTTGTGGGTGGGTGGATGGATGGAAGAAAGAAATTAGAGGACTGGGGCGGTTTGGAAGGAGGGTGTGAGGGGAGAGTGAAGGATTGGGGTGCTTGGCGTTGGTGGTAGAAGAAGAGATGGTACAGACGCTTGAGGAGGTGGAGTGAAAGGGGTTTGAAGATGGATAACGCTGAAAGTACAGTGCAGGGGTGTGTCAGCGGGGTAGTTAACGGCAGACGATGACTTCTGTAGACCCTCTACCACACCCGGACACAGACACCAGAACGCTCCAGCAGTGACCGCGTTTGTTTTGACGTGGACAGTTTCAGTCAGCAAAATGACGGCCGAGGTTCGATCCCCGATATGGGCGTTATGGTATTCCTCTCCGCTTTGCATCCAAACCCGCTACTCGTCTTTCGTTGCCATGTACTTAAAACGACAGCGATGACTTCAACCAAGCAGTTTCACATTTTGAATTTACTTGGCTGTGCTTTCGATGTTCGGTGAAGTACGCTACCTTAGATTGTGGTCTTTTGGGTTTTGTCGCTTTGAAGTCTTGCTTGTGATTACAAACGTTTTGAAGTAACATATCGCCTCCATTATTAGGTCTTCCAAACCCCTGGGCAATCATTCACTACCTGATATGTGAGTCTGCGTAGTAAAAAGTATCCCTTGGATGACCATTTTTCGAAACATCCAACGAAATAAAAACCTAGATACGCTGTTATCCTGTAACGTTTATCAAATCATTTAACCTTCCTCACTCCTACTTCGTAGCCTGGAGGTTTCAGGTTCGAATTTTTGTTTAAGAAATCTGCTGTCTTGTCTGAGGTATTTCTCAACTTTCTCAGTCCCAGCAGGAAGCTCCTAGAACGTGACATTAAAACATGCCACAGGAATATCCACGTCCATTCCTATGCATGACTTTTTCATTTGACGCTGTGTAATCTGTGCAGTGAGAACCTCGAATCTGACTTCTTATATCTTCCGTTTCGGCCTACGAAGCGGGAAGAGGCCAGAGATGGATGCAGTTTACGATAAAGGTTCTTACGACCTTTTTGCGAAATCTTTTTTTCTCGAAACAAAATCTGAACCCTTTGCATCCTAACGAAGCAGCCTGTACTCCAAGGATACGAGGCCGAACTATGGAAACTCTTGAAGCAGACTTCTGGTTGTTAAAACTTGACACCACCCCCTCGCCTAATTCAATACGCGTGAGTGGTGCCCCTATCTTTGCCTGGTTTACAGGAGAGTGCTCCTCCATCCAGGTATACTGTAACCCTCCTGTACCCCTTTATGCTCACGAAGCCGCGGTGCTGAGCAAACCCGTCTCTTGATTCTACTCTCAACATTTCCAACTCTACTCCAGTGAATTTGAAAACATGGACACGATCTGCGTGGAGGACGTCGCGTCATCCCATGTTGCAGCACATTTTATACTGCACGTCGATAAAATGAAAGGACTGCTTGTTCCGTTCCGTTATTGATTGTTATATGATTTATTTAACGACGCTGTATGAGCTGAAGAGGGTGTTTAAAGGGGGAATTTATGGTTTCAGTCTCCCCCCTCGACGAATGTAGGATAACGATAAAGATCCATTTAGGGCCCCCCCCCCCCCCAAATATTAGTTACCAAGTACTTTGTGTTGAGGGAAGCAAAATTTTGTTAGCGCCACATATTGTAGCCGATACATAACTACATAAAGATTCACGTTCTTGCGGCGGCGAAAATGAAGATGGATGACCTCTGGGTTCTTGGGCATGTAGCACGCTCGAGGCAGTGGAGAAATGAGCGCACCGATCGAAAGATCTAGGCGTGTATTGAAGGATAATATTAAAATAGATCTTAGGAAAATAGTCCTGTGGATTAGACAAGAGCTCTGAAAGGGAAATATCTTTATAAGATACACCTTAACCGTTTATACATCACAGCCACAAAATTTGCGAGCTATTCAGTGTAGAATTTCACACAACACGTCTTGAAATTACGACTTAATGCGTTGCGAATCGGATTAGAATGCAGTGGCTTCAGCTGCAATTAGCATTCATTCGCTTCGCTTTTTTTTCTTTTCTTTTCTTTTCTAGCATTCATTCGCTTCGCTTTTTTTTCCTTTCTTTCTTTCGGTTAGGTTTATGAATAGAAAGAAATGCGTTTGCCTCTCACTCTTCCACGGAGCCCGGGTTGCCAATGTTCGTGGCTCGGACGGCAAGTACCTGTGTTAGCAAATAAAATGTAAAGGTATGCTCAGCTGTAATCAAAATCAGTTCCCAGTAACAAATACACAATGAAACTTCACCTCCTTAAGGCAACTGCAGTTTCTAAATTTAACGCGGTTCTTCAGAGTGAGGCCCTGAGATGGTTCTACTCAGTTACAACCAATATTCCTTTATGTTATTCTCTCATCTCTCAGGCTGTCGATTCTCACGGCGACGATTATGAAGTAGAATGTTTTCTGGAAATTTGTATGCCGTGTACTCTGGTATAAATTG